ATATGGCCGGACATTCAAGGATGAGAATTTCAAGTGTAAGTCTATCTTGATCTCGCATTTAGACCTGCTTCCTTCTTTTCCGTTCTGCCCCTTTGTGCACTCTGGCATTCAATATCAGTGGTAATGCATTTTTAACTAAACGTTTCCGCATCCTCTCTCTCTTTAGAGATGAGTACATACTGTGCTGGCCCTTCCATTTCCGAAACCTTACATTTTATATAACATTAAGAAAGTAATAATGTGCCACACGTTGCAGTATCCCATGTTGGACCAGGAGTTCTGAGTATGGCAAATGCTGGCCCTAATACAAATGGAAGTCAGTTCTTTATCTGCACTGTCACGGTAAAAGCTTAAAATATTCTTCCTCTGGTTAAGGCATATTGTTGAATTAGAAGTTATATCTTATAATACACCAGAATCTCAGCTTAATGGCATCCTTATAAGAACCCGCATAGCATATTATATAGAAGCCAATTATATAACCTAGAGAATAGATCTAGATGAAACCAAACAAAGCTTTGTTGCTTCTCTGTTTGTTAACCGTAAAACCAGTAACAATGCCTAGATTCAGTCCAATTGTTTCTAAGCTTTGTTGCTTAGTTGGACTTATATCAAACTAATATGCGGTACAATGACAGACTTCGTGGTTGGACGGAAGACATGTGGTGTTCGGGCAAGTTATAGAAGGAATGGATGTGGTGAAGCTGATAGAGGAACAAGAGACAGACAGAGGAGACCGTCCCAGGAAGAAAGTGGTGATCGCAGACTGTGGTCAACTTCCAATGTCTGAAGCATAACAAGGATCGAAAACCTTTGTGACACGAAATGGACCTACTATGTGTTTGCACTTTCCAACCCTTTCTATTTGTAATAAGATCAATCTCTTCTTTTCCCCAAAAAGCAAGGAGCCAATTTTGACTTGAGAGATTGATAAGCTAAGCATATATTTATAGGCTTTTGCTAACGAAAGCAAATGATACAAGTCTCGTAGAAGTGAATGAACCCAAAGTTTCTAAACCCAAAGGCAATTATCAGCGATATGTTGTCTGCGTAACAAGTAACAAAAGATTTTTCTAAAATGTTGAATGTTGTTGTATTAGTCAAGGAAAGTAGGAAACATACAAACAAACAAATATAGGCCACACTATGCCATTTACGCAAATCAAGAGCCCCACAAAACAGAAGCTCAAGAAGCCGTTAATAGAAGAAAAAAGTACCAAACTCTCTATGGCGGAGATATGATGATTTCAATTGCACCAACCTGACCCACAACATAAAAAAAGAATGAAGAAGACATTTTCATTCAGAGAAAGAGAAACCCATTTGGTTCTTTTTTTTTTATTGATCAATAATAATAGTACACAACTAAATGCCCAATTCTTCAAAGGTAAAGCTGTAAACAAAAAGAAACGTAGGACAAAAAAAAGCTTCGATTCCTAACACAGGAAAAAATCTATATCAATGCATGCCTGAAACACACAAAACAAATCTTCTTTTGATGGACTCTTTTTACTGGTCAAGGCTAACATCACCCCATTGCACCTTGTGCTTAGCAGCTAGATAATGAGCACCGACCGGACCACGACTCCCGTAAGGATAGTACTCAGGGATTCTCTTCTTCTCTTCTATCTCTTTAAGCAATGGAGTGAACAGTGCCCAAGCTGCATCGAGCTCGTCACTTCTTATGAACAACCTTCTTTCTCCTTCTATTGCGTCTAGCAGAAGCCTCTCATATGCATCTGGTATCTCCTTTGAATACCTGACCAAAACAAAGTATAGGATCAGTTTATCATTGCTATGAGCAAGGTGTCATCTTTCTTTTCTTTTTTTACGTAAACTCACTCACGTACCTTGCGGAATATAGAAGATTCAAGTTACTTCGATCTAATCTCATTCCTAAACCAGGGACCTTATTGTTGATTTTCAAATAGATTGCTTCATCCGGCTGGACACGGATCACAAGTTCGTTTGTAGCTTTATCAAAATCAGAACCAGTATTACGGTTATACAAATTCCCCGGAACATGCCTGAACTGCACCCTTATCTCTGCCCTGTATCAATATTTGTAATTTTACTTATCAATAAGACAGGTCGATAAAACTACGTAAGTTTGAAAGTTATAGGCACTTACCTCTTGGTGTGTAGTGCTTTACCGGCTTTCATTAGAAAAGGCACACCGTCCCATCTGGCATTGTCGATGAAAAGAGCAGCAGCTGCAAATGTGGGAGTCAAACTATCTTTTGGTACAGTTTTATCATCGGTGTAGCCCGGATATGTGACTCCTCCATTTGAGTGGCTCTTGTACTGTCCTATTACCACATCTTCAACTCGAATTGGCCTCATTGAACGTAGAACCTTAACCTGAATTGGACACGAGGCTTTTATAATATGTTTTCTTGAACCAAACCCAAATTATAAAGGGGGCAATAAAAAAATAAAACCTTTTCATTTCTGATATCCTCTGCATCCAAACTAACAGGTGTTTCCATGGCAAAGAGTGCTAATATTTGAAGCAGATGATTCTGCATTATATCTCTTATTATTCCATAGTTGTCAAAGTACCTGAATTAAACATAAGGAAACCAGAATGAAAACATAAACTTTCCATACAGAAGAAATATTAAAAGCCAGGTAATGGAAAACACGCAAATTACCCTCCACGTCCTTCAGTGCCGAAATCCTCAGAAAATATCAGTTGCACGTTCTGTATGTACTGCCTTGACCATAGCGGTTCAAATATAAGGTTTGAGAATCGAAGAACAGATAAGTTCTCGACTAGCTCTTTTCCTAGGTAATGATCTATCCTGGAAGAACACAATGTAATTATCATATCAGCCGAGCATCCAATAGCAGCAACATTACACATTTACGACAAACAAAGCTATAAGGGCAATATCTCCCACCTAAAAATTTGATCTTCGTCCAAATACTGCTTGAGGGATTTCGTTAAAGCAGCCGAGGTTTCAGAATCTCGACCAAAAGGTTTCTCGACAATGACTCTAGTCCAGCCTTTGACAGATGAAGCAGAAGTGCTTGCACATTTCACAGCATCTACAAATATATTTGGAGGAATAGACAAATAAAAGAGGCGGTTCGAGATTCTTCCAGCCTACAGAACAAAAAGGATAATACACCAATGAGATAAAGATGTAAACTCCAATTCTTCGTTGTACACCTATGAAACAAATTTGAAAGCAGAAAGTTCAATTGGCAGTGGCACACATCAATACCTCATGTTCCTTGAGCTTCTTGTCTAATGCCGTAAAATGTTCTTGAGAATCATACTGACCAGAATGATAAAAACATCTCTTGAGAAATTCTTCAATCTTTTCATCACAGTTTGCCCTGAAATCCAGCGAAAACAATGACAGAGTTGCTCAGAGTTAGACTAATCTTCGCGAACTCCGAGGAAAAAACCGAAACTTCAGAAGCTACAATTGCTTACCTCTTATCGATTCTACAGGTCAAGGTTTTGCTGACCATGGTTCTAAGTTCAGCATCAGTCATCTTACTCCTCGAATAACCGTATATCGTAAAATGCTACAACACAACAAAGCCAAAACTGTCAATCATTAAGCTTTAGTATGGAAATATCACACACACAAACAATCACAGAGAGCAAAACATAAGGAAGGCAAATAATAATACCTCAGGAAGACAGCCTTCATAGTAAAGAGCGAAAAGAGCCGGAAAAATCTTTTTCTTGGCAAGATCACCAGAAGCTCCAACCACAGTGATACTAACCGTTGACTGATTATGACCATCAGATTCTACTGCAACCTTGGCTGTTTCTTGAGATAGAACTGATAACACATCATCTTTCAATCCCTTAAGAGAAGACTTGCTCTCTTTTGGATTTGAATCCGTGACTATTGCACCTAAAAACCCAATGTAAAATGTCAACATATCAGAGAGATTCAATTGCAATAAAAAAAAAAAAAAGCTTCCTTTTTCGATTTGATCAAATCCAATAAAAACAGAGAATGAATAGAAACTAACCATCTTGCATAAAGACAGAACTCCGACCAGACTTCCTCTGGAATCTAACACAGAGCTCATGAGAATTCAATCCTTGAGAGAGGAACGAGAGTGATTGATGTCGATTACCATTGAACGGTGAGAAAGAAGCCGAATAACCGGAACCACGATAGGATCTGGAGGTGACGGAGGAGGAAGACAAAGTCGCCATCTGTGAAAGGTGTTACAGAGAGAAGGAAGGAGGTTTAGGGCTACAATTAGTTTAAAATAAAGGAAGAACATAAGAAACATCGAAAGGAGATTTTAAGGGCATTTCTGCAAAATACAAAACCTTTTGAGATCTCTCAAAGGTTGTCTTTTTATTTGCCTAAACTGCTCACATTTCACAATTGTGATGGTATGGCTACGTGAAGGGGTCTCTGCACAAAATAATATTCAATTCAACCAAAACTTCAAGTGGACTTTTGCTTTCTCTTCTCTCTTTTTTTTGTTTTTTCATAAGTGATCTCCGAATATACGTTTCTCTCATAGATGCTTTTTGTTGTTTTAACTCAAAACATACAAACAAGAGAAATTGGACTTCTTCCAAACCCACAACTTTTGCTTCGAGACTGTTAGGTAGGCACATGTAAAATTAGCACCTACCCACTTGACTTGTCCCAAACTGTTTGCATTTGTATATCTTGAATGTAATTTGGTAATGCAAATTTAGTTGAAAGTTGAAGCTTTTACTTCTTTTTGATTGGGAGTCAAAAACAAAATTGCTAAACAAAAATTTATGAGTTTACACTCTTACAGCATCAACAACTATTGAAAAAACAACAAAGAGAAATCCCGTTTTCTAACCCAATAATGAACAAAAAATCAACACTCTTACAACTAACAATGAAAAGATAGCTTTAACTCGCAGGCCAATAACCTGCACAAATTTTCATCTCTCCCTACAACATGATTGATTCTACCAACACAATTAAAACTACCAAAAACCCTCAAAAACTCTTGATTTTGAAGGAGCATCAAAATCAGAGAACAAGGGCGACTTTCTCATGTGATATCACCGGTGATGCATTCGCAATCAAGGGCTCGTAATGGTCTGCTCCACCACCACACCAACCTGAACCAAGTGGATGAATGTCATTACTACCAAATCCAAAATAGATGTTATGATGCAGGAGAAAGATTTAATGTCTGTTTATTTCATGTACCTGTGCCTTTCATGAATAGAAACACTGGGAATTCAATGACTTCACTTCTTGGTTTGTGAGGAAGGAAGAACACACAGTTCTCTTCTTCCACCATCCCATCTGATCCATGTGCTTGCACCTATAAACACCCAAAGTTCACAACTTTAACTTTGGATGTGGTCTTACAACACAAAACTTCATATTATAGCAACAAAAAATTGGAAACTTTTTCACTCACCACATATATTTCTCGTTTGAATTCTGTGGCAAGACATTCAATTGCAATGTCATCACCAAACGCAGCAGCATGACCTTCTCGGTTCTCATCTACAGATAACAAACCGTCTTCTGTATACTGCAATGTGATAATATCATACTCATCTTCTGATGATCCTGAAATCGACATGTACTTAGCCCAACTAAGTCCATCGTTCACAGGAAGACACCTCTCTCTGTAGATTGACTCTGCAGCTGTTTCTCTTCAATGGAGTAAACAAAAAAAAAAACATGAGAACAAGTCATTACTACAAAACCCTAGAAAAGAAACCACCAAAGAACAAGAACAAAGATGCTACATTTGCTTCCTTTTGTACACATAATCTTCCTAAAGTTTTTGTTCTTGATTCAATTCATAAAAACGTAATCTTTAAGAAACAAGATCTAAAGGTAACTTTTTTACCTCTGCATTCCGATCTGAATAAGCTCATCAATGGCGGAATCAAGACTCTCACGCTCGTCTTTTTTGGCTAAAAGCTTCTCTTCCTGGACGATATGAATCCCCCACCCACTCTTCAGATCCGGCGAGTACATATGCCTAATCGCCTCCGTAATAACCTTCTTCTCTCCCTCGCTCGCCGATCTGAAATCCTCGAGGAACCTCCTCACCGTTCGCCTCCGTAGATCTCGCGCGTCGATCCCACGCGCCTCCATTGCTTTCTGCGAGGCCGTGAATAGGCAGTTCCCGTCTGAGGAGACTTCTCCGCCGTGTGAGAGACGGAAAACGACGGAGGCGGAGGATTCGTCTTCTTCTTTTTTCCCGGGATGTTTCCAAAGGACCCCTCTCGCGTGAAGTCGTTGGAGATGCTGTCTCTGCTGCTCCTCGAGACCGAAAACCTCATCCCACGCGGTGGTGGTTGTGGCGGCGGACATTGTTTTCTCCACCGCTTCAACCGCCGCAGCCGCAGACGATTGGTCGACAAGATCCACGGGCGTTGTCGTCGTCGATGGTTCTCTCCACGGAACTGTCGGTGACGGAGATTGAAATGTCGCCGTCGAATCACAAAGAAGCTTTCCCATTATTCTTTAAAGAATATCAAAAAATCGTAAAAGACACAAACCAAAATCTCTGCAAGATTTCGCCTTTCGAAACGAAACTGCAAGAAGGT